TGCAAACAGATTACCTAGTTACTTTCCTCTACATAATTCAAATAGCAATGAAATATTGCGACATAACTCTTTACGTCCCAACAACGAAACAAAAATAGATTGTGGTCTCATGATTTAAGTAATAGCATAGCCTTGTGATACCACTTTCCCAAAGGGTCTCGAGCTTCGGATTGAACCCCGGATCACTGAGCAAGGTCTGCATGCTGAGACGAGTTTCACCCGCGCGCTGCACCCATGATGACCGCGCGGCCTGTCTGGCCGCGCACGCGGGAATTTTTGCTGACAGTATAAGCAATCTTCTGGTAGATTTTTCAGGGTCTCATTCCTACTTCTGGTTTGATCCATTCTTATAGTCTTACGGAGTATTCCCAGGTTTTGTGCAGCGGCGTGGTTATCTGAATTGGCCTTCTTTCGACTATTTCTCATTCGACAAAAAATAGATGACGGAGCAGGACGTAGCGAAACAGCGAAGTAAGCTGTTAATAGGCGCTGTCCTTTCTTCGTGCTTGCCACCCTTCGATATTGACCAGGTTTAGCTGCAAATTGTTATTAGATTGAATAGAGCTTTAAAAAGTCTAATCAAGAGTTATAAAAGAGATATTACTTTCTCAAATGGTGGCTCTGCATCGATTTCCCAAATTAACGCAGTTTTGAAGGCAAACTGAGCTCTGCATGGTTGGCAAAGTTGGCATTGCGACGGCATCCAAACTCCAAGGATCCTTTGATGCTACTGTACGCACAATTTCAGCCGAAAACGATTAAATAATTCTTAATTAAATTTAACAAACACAACCAACATTATAATAATGTAAAAATCAGATATCTATGTCTTACTGTCACCCCATTAGCAATCCCTCACAGCAGTTCGATACCAGGTCGAATGCGATTCAAACTACCTTAAGTTGGAGTTGCACACACACGCAATGCTACATCTGACCGAATGAATTCCTGAAAAGTAAATAATAAATTTGCGTCATGTACTTGAAATTACAAATTCATCCTGGAAAAGTAACATTGTAAGCTGCCTCACTGACTAGTTTGGCAGCATGCCCATCGGCAGAATTCCGTTCGAAATGCAGTCGTGGGGCATCAATGGAAGTTTGAAGATTCCATTTGCCTCTGCCCTTGCAACTGCTCAAACTGGATTTCGCGCCATTCGTAGACGGTTCCTGGGAATCAGTATCAATGAGATATGTCAAAGTAGTTTCATAAGTAAAATTAAAAAACAGTTTTTCCCATCTTGTGGAATCTCTTGTTCTAGCTCAATAGGCGCATCTTCTGACGCTACTGTACGATCCTCCACAAAGAGTTCCTCCTTTCTCTAATCAAAATAATTTCCAACGTTAAGAAAACTTACGGCCTGAGAGACGATGTCACTTCCAAAACAGCTCTCGGCTTAGCGTAAAACGCGGTCTTGCAGGTGCACGAGTTCGGGATGGAATGTAAGGAAAGCGATACATTCTAGAATCTAATTGAAAGAAAAGCGTAAATAAAAAATCTGTATATGTGAGAACGAATGAAGTACTGGATCAACAGGCAATGTAAACTGGTACAACGAAAAGAACAAAGAAAATCACGGAACAACTTCATTTTAAGGTACAGAGCATACGACAAATTTACAGTGTGAAAATAAGAGTATGATTGTCATATGGTACAGTACAACATGCACCCCTAATGAGAACGGCGTTCTGCCACCGCGTAACGGTACCAGTTGGCAAAACGACGTGTTATTCTCAGCAACCGCTCTTATGAGATTCAGTTCTATTCTCCTAACTTCATGTAGTAACCTCATGTGTGATTTTCAAGGTTACGCAATTTCTTGAATGGGTCGCAACAACGATACTCTTCAAAAGACTTTGATTGAGTATTTGAGGGATTATAGAGGAAGAGTATCACGGAGCCATAACTATCCGTTGCTTCGTTTGCATCTCCTCCATACAAATACACAATGCCCAAGCACGTATTTCTCTTGCGCTTCCAATATTCTCGGCTCGAATAGATCTTGCCTCGATCCACAAGACAGGAACTGCACAGAAGATGGTTTAAAGCAGGTTAAAAAAGTTATATAGTTCATGCGTACAGGGGAATATCCGAAAGCGCAAGATTTTGATTTCCGGTTCCTCAAGAACAGCACGGCACACGGCCAAGTTTTGGTATTATGTAGTAAATGTCGTCAATTTGCACTCCGCGCGGAACCTGATAGCGAAAAAGAAGAGCGGACGGCCAAATTAGAGTAATTTGTTTTTTTGCCTGATGTCGCCTTGTTTTTTCAGTGAAGAGAACAGTTTTTGGCATTCTCGTTAGGCAACAATAGTGTTTTATAAAACAATTGAAATTTCGTAATTTTTCCAGTTTTTGATAAGCAAGGGCAACCACCGTAACTCGAACTTCAACATCCGACGGTTGACCGAGCATTAGGGAAATGCGGGACCAGGTGCTCTTCCGTTAACAAAACCTTTGATGTGACATAATTATACTACTCATAAGGATCGTTGCGTTGAGGCTTTGCGGTTTCTCGAGAGAACCAACATTTGCATATGCGAATTATGCCGGCAACGTCTCTTTATTCGTGAATCCGTGCTATAGCGCAGAGGGCTAACGTAAAACCCATTCAGCAGCAGTAACCGTTTAATTTTTCACCAAAGCATTCTGTGCCTTTGGAGGAATGAGTCCATCAACTTAGAATTCTATTGTTTGTAATACAATGCTTACCTTGGAGCCGCCTTCCGCAATGCTCTCAATCGTAATGTAAATATACAGTTCGTTTTACAAAGGAAACTTATAGGCCATTTCATCTCCTTCCAATTGAACTGCATTCGAGACAGCATGCCTCATCTATACCTGCAATTGGTACTCGGGAAGTCTACATTTGTTTGAAACATAATCGTAAACGCTTCGACATTGCCTAGAAGTAATTTTGACGCTCATACTAAATAGAGTAAATAAAATTTATGACCTGACTCATCACATTTCAATGTGTACCGAAGTGGACCTGAGTAAAGAACAGGAAAAGGATATACAAGATACAAATCTGACAAAGCAAAAGGGATAGACCTATTCACCCGTAGGTAGGAGCATTAAGCTGATTAGGACACCACATGTAAGATACTAAAGTGAGAATGATTCCTAGATTACATGAAAAGACGGAGGCAAAGCGGTTGAGGTGTGAGACTCAACGCAACAGCGAAGAAAGACAGAGGTAAACCATTACCAAAACACAACCGCGCATCATAACGTCACACGTGAACAATCTACTCATAACAATTGAAGAAAACTGTACACGTAAAAAGATAACATGTGAAAAACTGGGCAATTTCGCTAAAAGATGAATTATTATACCATTACTCTGTAAAAGTGTTTAAACATAGTGACAAGTTATCATTTTCGCTTCCTGGTTCTTCTTCTTTTCCTAGGTGCGTTCCATTCTTCATCGTCACCGGAAGAAGCTGGAATTGGCAGAGGGCTCTGGAAAAAGAATCACAATAAAATATAACTAAAATTTATATAAGACTCTTCCACAGAAGCTGACATTTTCCCCCGCCTCTTAAATGAACTAAAACAAACTCTCCTAGACATTACTAAGAATTCTGAATGTTAAGTGAAATGCTGAGATGGGCTGTAGGTTAGACAATCATTGGTGATGGTTATAACGATAATTAGGTAAAATCTGAAGTGTGATAGGTAGCCTCAAGATCCAACTATATTTCAAACACATTTTCCACTTACAACTTCACTTACATACGAACAAATTTTGAAACAGGCATGGAAACGTCATGGAAAATTATATGTATTGATTCTGAGGATTAATTCAAAAATTGAGTTTAGTAAAAAAACGAAACTTCAAAAGAAATCAATAAAGTAAAGGTACACTGATTAAGCAACATCGCTCAAACGGCCTCGTCATTATCAAGTCGAAAAGTCTCCACAATTCAAACAGCAAAATCTGTTTTTTGAGAATTGAGCAAAACTGATTGTAAGAATGATTACACATTTTTAAAAGCGTGCGAAGTTGACTTGACTTGGAAGGAAACATTTGGTGCTGCAAACAGAATGTTATACCAAATTGAGATAACTGTATATAAGATCGCCTGCGAAAAATGCAGAAACAGTTAGTCCGACAGTGGATGATTAATAAGAACATGGGAAGAAAATGTTCACACTCTGTACGTTGAGGCAGTGATACAAGGTAAAAGCCGCAAGGAAGGACTATAAAGTTCCAAACTTACAATGAAATCATCATCGTTAAAAGTGCTCTCAGATATAAGTTCTTGCTCTGCTATCTTCTTGGCTGCGGCTCTGTAATGTTACTTAAAGAATGGAATTTCTGAGACTATAAGAAAATTCTTTAAAAACCTTGAACTACTGCGGCTACCATCTAACTTCCTGCAGTTAATGATGTGCTTCTCGAACACTTTGGCCCCGACCATCCGCCCACAAACACGACATTTTACCGTGATCTGAAGAGTTAAGATGAGATATCACTCTCGTTACAAATCATTCAAAAAGAGAAGTTGTGCACATTAATTACTAAGTAGATGATAATCCCATTTACAACAATAGCAGTGATATTCATCCAAAACAAAAACAAAGAAGAGTCGTAAAGTTCCAGTCTGCGGACAAAGCGAAGAAACAATGTTGGTAAATGCGTCAAATTGCCACAACCTGATCTATCATTATTATTAAGCATTTCAAATAATTTTAACAGGTCCTTTTATTTACTTTTGGTTTGCCATGTTATGACTATCTTTTCTACGAAGAGATTCAATGAACGAACCGGCGTATTTGATTCCGGTGGTCGCGATCGTGGCGTGTCTGAACTCGATTGCGGCGAGCTCTATAAAACAAGAATTTACTGGTACATATCAATCCGCTTTATTGTGTCAAAAGCACGACCTCATGGCTTGGTGTAGGAGGGGGACTATCAATTTGCAGACCATGACGGTGAAGTATAGCTGCTTCACGATGCACGTCGAAGATACAGTCCAAAAATGTGCTATCCAAGAGATAGTCGCTAAGTTCTCTTACCAGATCTAAATAAGATCAAAATTTTTGTTTTGTATTCCCCTTCTAAAAGTTCCGATCAACAGCAATTCAAAAAATGACAGAATGAAAAAGTGATCTTACAGCACTCTGCTGTGAGTTACGCTTGCGACAAGTGTTGTTATTACAAAATCGATAAGTATTTGAAATGTAATTACTAACAGCTATACTACATTTTTATATCCGCTATGAGTGGAAATCAGCGAAAGTGCATTCATTATCCGTCCTGCAAATAGATTTTGAACAGATTTCTGTCGTGCTTCAACTTTCCTTCTTTCCCTCCTCGCGCAAAAAAAAAGTGTATCCACCTCTCCGATATCGACTACGCCTATTTGTAAAGCGTAAGTTTCCTATTTCTCACATTAGAACAATGGATTGAATTAAACCTCTGGTTGTAACTGTGATAATGATATCTAAAGCTATCCATCCCTCTAAAAGAGAGTTTAGTAGATTTCACGTAATCGTTCAGTAACCTTGAGAGAGAATAACTTCACTCTTGAACTACGCTAACAATGCCAGTGAGAAATCTAGCAACGAGGTCAGACACCCCACCAAATTTTTGAAAGGAGTACATAATCAGCTTGGCTTTTGTTTCTGACATGCTCGATTGCACTTCACGAAGCAGTAAAAGTGGAGGTGCGGTGTAGTACAGTCACTGAGAACAGTTTCCACCAATAGACCATACGACTTGAACTCACTATTTGGATCGCATCACCAAAATAAGAGCTAAGAACGTTTTAACGCAGAAAGTAAGTGTTCCAGTGGTGAAAATGATGGAAACCTTCAAAAAGTGATGTAAACAAGGCATTAAAGCGCCATGGCTTCTAACGTGTCAAAAGGGTTTTTCATATTGGTCTTGACTTATGTTTTCATATTCTGTCTGATCCATTTAGACACAACAGACTCAATACAGAGAATGGTTTAGGTTAGCATATAAACAAGGCCGCATACCTCTAAATTGCTCAGGCAAAGAGCGATTTCTGATGTCGTAGCCCTCCACGTCTTCTGCGTTTGAACCGGCTCCAGAGACGCGTCTATTCCGAAGATTTTGGTCCCTATCCCGTTCAGCTGACAACTCTGGAAGAAATATTAAATCTTCTTCTTTCAAATTAGTCGCTTCAGATTTTGCTCCGTAGTATCGCGCAATGAGGCTACGTCAGCAGAGTCCAAT